ATAACAATGGTGTTATCAGATGAAAGGAAGGGTTTTCGGTGGTAGCGCCGATGAAGATGATACTACCGTCCTCGATTACAGGTAAGAAAGAGTCCAATTGTGACTTGTTGAACCTATGAACTTCATCTACGAATAATACTGTTCTCGTAATGGTGCCATTGATGGTATTCTTTTTGCGTTTTCTAGCTTCGTCTACTACATCCCTAACATCTTTTACGCCAGCAGTTACAGCAGATAAAGTAACAAATCGATAAGAGGAAGATGATGAACAGGAATTAACAATGGCTCGACCAATGGAGGTCTTACCGGTACCAGGCGGGCCCCAGAGGATCAACGAGGGCAAGCGATCACGGTCGATGGCGGACCGAAGAATAGAGGATTTATCGGCGAGGAGGTGGTCTTGTCCTACGATTTGGGAGATGGTGTGAGGCCGCATACGCTCAGCCAACGGTTGTTCGTTGCGAGGCGGAGGCTGCTTCCTTTTTTTGGGTTCTGGCTGTGGTGATGATTCCGGCTCCGCCGCTGGTACTGGTTGCTGGTGATTGTCGGGTGAGTGTCGTGGTTTCTTTGCGGAATTTAAACGAAAGAAGGGATTGATTTTGGGCTGAGAAGGAGATGGGGTAAGGACTGGGGATCTTTTGTTGTCGGTTATCGATTCTTGGCTGAGAATCCATTCGGTGGCACTAGAAAGGGATTTGCCGACGGTGGCGGAGAGAGCTTGAGAAACTAACTCGTCGGAGAAACCCATTTCTAGAAGTTGCTGCTTTTCCATTTTCCCGCTTCTACCTGATTTCGCTCCTTCTGCTCAACTCTATCTCTCTATTTCCTGGTTTTTGTGTAACAGGAGGGGATGTGTGTTAGCTTTTGAAAGCCTGTGTTAGCTTTTGAAAGCCAAAAAGTCATTTTTTAAAAACGGAAAAGTCAGGATTCCGTGACTTTTCAAAAAGATGTCTTTATTGAAAAAGTTGGAAAAGTCAGGATTATCAAACATCTTTTTGACTTTTAGAAAAAAATAAAAGTTAAAAGTCACTTTAAAAGTTATCCCAAACACCCTATTTTTTTCTTTCTAATAGTAAAGTTGGCATACTTTGTCCAGGTTTGGTCCCTTGATTTACATATCCGGTCCATGTACTTTTTTAATTACTTTATTCATGTCATTTTCTTTGTGTTCCATTCAACTTCCCATTTTTTTGGCAGAATTGGTCCTGTATTATTGTTGGAAGTTATGAATACTAAATTTGGATGTTTTTTGACAACTTTACTCATTATTCTTTACCCATTTTGACACTTTTGGTCTTTGCAATCAATATTTTTACACTTTTTTGGAACCTTTTAATATTTAAAGTTTGGCCACAAAACTTTAACGGTTTGACAACTTTGATCCCTTTTCTAAAAAGTTGCTAATTCTTACCCCTTTAATTCTTTAGCCATTTTCACACTTCTGGTCCTTGCAGTCAAAACTTTTACATTTTTTGTCTGGGGCAAAGCCCGGACTTTTCATCCTTGCACTTTCTATGTCTGTCATATTTATCAATTCGGAAACAACATTAAAAGCTTCTGGCCCCCGCGTAGCGGGGGTAACCTTTCTAGTTGAAATTAATCATGTGTTATATTCATAGCATCTCTAGAATGAATTTAAATATCAAAAAGTAAAATAACCAAAAAAAATATATATTTATCTTAAAATTTCCGTGGAGGTTTTTAATTTCTTATAACATAATAACTTTTTTTTTAATATTTATCTTATAATTACTATGGACATGTTTGTTGGTAGCATTTTGTTAAACGCCGTGGAGATTGTCTTTAGATTTAGAATATTTTGTTTAAACTAAACGTTAAAAGTTTGATGTGTCAAAAGATGTTTTTTGTTCAAAATAGAATATTTTAAATATGTCTTACATGTATCATAAAAGGGTATTTGTAAATAGTAAATTGGAAACAAACAATCTTCTAGCATAAAATCCTACTTTTTATCATCTTTTAAGTTTTAAGAATCATAAATTCGAAACAAACTTACAATATAAATCCAACATTTTACCATCTTTTGGGTGGTTGAGTGGTGAAATTCCGAAAAGGGTTAAGGATCCATAAATGTTATCATACATATAGGTTAAGTATTTTGTACATTAGCATTTATCAAATGTTGTTTTATTGCTACTAAGGTCAAATCATTAAATAGTCCAGAGAACTATGGGATTAAAAATGCATGCTTTCAGTCGTTTTCTTGTCATGGTCTTCTCTCTCTCTCTCTCTCTTACAAACCCCTAGTATTTCATCTCCATTGTCACTTACCACCTCTCATGTTAACCACCATGCTCTGCCTTCTGCACCACTTTGTGCTTTATAGCTTTGAGAATTTTTCATATCTTTACATTTTTAACGACTTAATTTTATTAGCAAGCTACCAAAAGACGATTACATAGAAATAGCGAACGGGGGATTTTGGAGCCAATTACTCCAAAAAAAAACTCCAGCCTTATTGTTCATATTGACAAACCACAAGAAGGAACAATCTACAATCTTATCAAACAAAACTTCAACGTAAAGGAGGTTTATCACAAAAAATAACTTCATTTCGAAAATGTCATAGAACCCATAGCCCACGTACAAAATTGTCTCCAAAAGTAATTTTTAAAGCCTAAGAATCATCTAGCCATCAATAAACATCCACAAGTTTGTCTATATCGGACAACAATAATGTTTATAATGTTAAAAATGTTCCATTCACTCACACACACGACTACACACACCATGTGTGTTGGTGTGTGGCTATGTGTAACATGATTGATAATCTAATTTTCTATACAAAATAACAATCCAAATATTTCCCAACATGATCAGTCTATTTCATTAATAAACCTAATCGTTTGACATTTACTTACAAAGGAAAACCTCTTTACAAATTCCTATACTACTCTCGAAGATTAACACTCATACAGAACTTGAACAAGAACAAAAGGGATATAAATCAGTAAAAAATATATGAAACCCTAATATGAACCGAGAAGAATACACAACGAGAGAGAAACACAGATATTTTCACACACACTAATGAGGTTCCTTCACCTGGAGAGAATATATACTCAACGCGACTGGAGCTCCAAACCCTGCAAACAAAAGAAACCAACAAGAACACTATCTACCCTAAACAAACAAATAATAACAAAACAAGTCAATAATTAGTTTGACCAAATAAATGAGAATATTTCAACATTCCCCCTTAAACTAATAGTTGACAAAGCTAATTAACTTTGATGGGATCATAAAGACCAAGTAAATTAATCAGAAATTCATGCTTACTTAAACTTAACCCCTTGGTTAAAACATCAGCAATGTTCTTCCCAGACTGAATGTTAACAAAGTTACCTATATTTTTTTGAAATCTTTTCTATGATAAAATACACATCTATCTCAAAGTGTTTAGTCCTCTCATGAAAGACAGGATTAAGAGTCAATTTAATGGCAGAATCATTATCACAGTATACATTACAAAACTTTGAGACATTAATACCAAGATCCAACAACACTTTTATTATCCAAATTATTTCACATGTGATAGAACCTAAGGCCCTGTACTCAGATTCTGTTGAACTCATTGAAATAGTATTTTGTAGTTTGCTTCTCCAAGAAAAAAGTGACTTTCCAAAAAATACACAATAATCAGTAACAAATCTTCTGGTTGACAGGCATTTAGCCTAGTCAGCATCAACAAAGAAACATCAACAAAACTACTTTTAAGAATTGAAACACCTTTACCAGGACTAAATTTAAAATACTTCAACAACCTTAAAGCAATATCCATATGAGACTTTCTAGGGTTGTGTATGAATTGACTCGAAGTCTGGACGGTATAAGAGATATCAGGTCTGGTAACAATGAGGTAAATTAACTTTCCAATTAAAAGATCAAAATCCCTTAGTATTAATGTAATGTAATTATTTGACCAGGAACTAAAATGTTGTTATAATTTTGATAATTTTAACTTACATGCTTACTATTATTAAATTATATAGGATGATCCTCATATACAACATAGTAACCTACATTGAGATCCACTATAAGAGTTTGTGTTTAGTATATTAAAGATACATACCGACCATCCCTTTTGTTTCGTACAGAAAAATCAGATTCACCATAAGGGGTTGTATGTTGTACATGACCTTTAGAATGACTATATCATCCACTTGCTTGCTTCCAACAACAAACTCATTTCCAACCACCCGATTTCCACCCAACGATTCCCAACAAAATTGAATTTCCAACACCAAATCTACAGGATAACACCATCAACAACATACAAAAATGCCATCTTTGGAGGAAAAAAATCTCATGAGATCTCTCACATCGGTCACCAACTAGCTCTATAACCTTATGCATTACGAGAAGTTGGAAATATAAAATGAACTGATTATTTTGTTAAATGCATCTTACTAGCCACCAAATGAACCAAACCAAAATAACATATACAAATGCAAATATCATACTCCTTCCATTCTAATGTTATGTATTGTATAACGTCATTATTGGTTCTCTTACACACCCCTCTGATATGAAGTACTCTAATATTACCATGATGATTTCAATTTTTTTTAAAGGTGTTTGAAGATTTATAGGAATGTATTCAAGATATTGAAGATAGTGACTAGAGATAGACACAATGCTTACCAAAAAAAAAAGGAACTCCAAAAAGAGATTATGAGCATCACAATTTTGAATCTAACAAAATATCAAACTTCATTGTATTCCAAAACTGACAAAATGTATTGTCAAGAACTATTTTGCATAGTGTACTTGGAGGATCTAAGGGTAGTTTGCAACTTTCTCGAGTTGCAAAACACATTTTCATTAGAAAAGATTTGTTTTGTTATTAGGTGGATTGTGAAAGCTGAGGCTTGCACAGGTTTGATCCCAAGCAAGCTTTGTAGTCATAATCTTTACTCAATCCCTAATGAGCATGCAACTATGGATTTAAAATAATAAAGAAAGATTTGCATTGTATATACCCTACCTTATCCAAGATCATGAAATAACAAATCCCTTGAGGTTGACTTTACAATGAGTCTTTAAACAAAAAGCTTGGACTACATCTTTTCATAGATACTAAAAACATTATATCAACAAGGGAAAAGAATAGGAGATGGATCCCTTTGAAGTTTTCCACTTGCTGCTGATAAATCCAGTTTCTTCATCTTTTCTTCACTCCAAAACAATTGATCTTTACTAATCTTCACCATCCTCAACACCCTGTTTATCACCTTCACATCTATAACCCCAAGTAACAACTCCACCTCCTCTTGTGTTCCAGGCCACTGATTTTTCTTCCCACCTTTCCTCTTTTTCCACAGCTCCTTCAACTTCACCTTTTTCTGAATTAATCAACAAATATATCATCAATCAAATAGATTTATGGTGGCATGTGAAATTACTAATTAACCCTTTCCTCACCTTCTCCAGTGACGCCTGAAACTGCTGAACAGGGGTAACCATCTGATTCTGACCTCCAAATAGATTCCGGACACCATTTGACTTCTTCTTGTCCATCTTTATGAACAGTTGAAAAGTAAGAATTGAGGTCTCAATTATTCTAAGAAGATCTGAAGCTTCCACCACCATTTCCGATTCCTCTTCTGTCATCTCCTTTCTATCTTGACCTGTAATTAGATATAACCAACAACAATTTTTATAAACCATCATTTTATTCTTCAAAAAGAAGCAATACCCGATGCCTAATGATATTCACCTAATATATTCGGAACTTGCAGAAGTTTAGAAAGCGAATTTCTTGTTTGACCATAAACTTCAGGCCTAAGACCACGTTCAAAAGGTTCGTTTTCAATAAACCGTTGCAGCAAAACCTGAAACTGCTGAAACTGTTGTGCGCTATGGTTGTAACATTTGGAATTTTCAGATTGAATCTGGCTTAGTTGAGTATACTGGCAATGAAGTGCCTCCCATGTCAAGCAAAGTTGAGATACGTATGCTGTTTCAAGATCCAGATATGGATCATTCTCTGGTTGTTGTTGCAGGTGCTCTGTTTCATCTTCAGGGGGTTCGAATTTTTTCAAAGAAAGACATCGAAGAGGGGATGTAAGCTTCTTGGACACAGACCTTGGTGATGGAGTCGAAGGATTGAGTGAACCTGTGTGACATTTTAGATTCTTAGAAGTTAGACGTTAGAAATCAATCGATAAGAGAAGTTATGAAGGTAAAAATTACCGATTTCTTTTAAGAGCTGTGTAGTGAGACGATCGAAGAACAACATGCGCTCACAGTACTTATCGTAGAAAGCACCAAAACAAGACCATAATTGTCGGCCTTCTGCTTCTACATCCCGCCACTCATTGGAGCTGGCTTGACCTTCGTCTTCCTCCTCCTCCTCTGGTTCCTCTTCCTCGGGACATGTTTCTTCAGGTATCAGCACCATGAAACTGTTCCTTCTCAGTTCTTTCAGTCTTCTCTTTACCTCGTTCATGATAAAGTCATCGTCGTCCTCATCGGCTTCTGTAGCATTATCGACATCCGCCGTCGCCGATTTCCCCAAGTCATCGTCGTTATCTTTCTTGGGCTCTTCGGGACCCGGAACAGGAACAGGATTGTTGTCGGATTCCTTTTCTGGGTTTGGTTTGTGGGCTTTTCTGAACTTTCTCATTTTAAGGAACTCCATTTTCGGATATAAAGATGCAAATGTACTGGTATTACGATCCTGGTAGAAAAGCAAGCTCAATAAAGAAAAAAAGAAATACAGAGCATACAGGAAACGGTGATATCAAACAATGACGAACCCACAACTTGTCAAAAGACTGATCAGGTTAAAAATCATCAAATGGACTGAGAATCCATAGATCTAACTCCATTTTGGCCACCAAGATTCTTCACGTTATAAAGAGGGATTTTTTCTTCTTGAACGGAATTGGCAACGATATAGAATCTCGAAAGATGTGATAATAAACATAGAGATCGATTTACAAGAGATGAAACAATGAGAAAGGTTTGGTAAAGTAGATTCGCTGCGATACATACCAGAAATCAGCAACGGTAAATCCAGCGAAAGCGATGCGAGGAAAGTGTAGTAGCGATCGAGTAGCCAGAAGGTAGAAAAAGAAACCCTAAAAGAAGTGAGTTTGGGAAGGGAGTAGGAGAAGTGCAAACAGTGTTGACATTGATGCTTGCTTGCTTCCACTTGATGTGTTTTTCGGATTTGTTGGTGAATTAACTGTTGTGTTTGCTACTAATTAGAGCCAACCGAGGTTTGATAAGATTTAGTGAGAGGGGCACAAGCACCCAGACAAACGAGAAGCAGAGAAATACAAAAGAAATAGGAGAGAGAAAGAGAGAGAGAGAAGACGTTCAGAGAATATTGTCAGAAAGAGGCACGACCCCTCTTTACTATCGAAGACAGGACACTGCTCGAAACACAAAGCCGGGAAAATACATGGACTGTTTTTGAAAGGTTTTCTTTATATTTTGTAGAGAAAAAGCATATTTGATTTCGTCAACGTTTTCTTTTTGTTATTATTAAAGTACACAAATAAAATTTTAACTTGAAAACAACGGTATTCAAAAAATTCCTCTATTGATGACCGAAAATAATCGATTATAATCATTATCAAAGAAATATTTATATAGACGTTGCGCGTAAACGATCAACAAGCTGTGTCGCAACCCGTTGGACTCTATTGAGTAGCTCCACAGCTTCTGGCGCAAGGAAACCGAAAATATCAAATGCAAAGGGTATAAACGTGTGTTGATTTTCCATGCATGTTTTCTCACGTTTTGTCACTTTGTTTGATGTAGCTTTATAACAGTTTGTCTCACAGTGAAAACTCCACTCCTCACCCACAAGAGGGGAAACCCTGTTAGATCCACACATGCATGTTTTCCTCCGGCCCATCCAAATACTAAAACATCAGTTGGTCTAAGTGTTGATCTTCCTTCCAATTGGTCAGTCAGAAAGTTCACAGGGGGCTCTTTCTTGGCAGAAATCTCAGGGCGCCTAAGTATTGATGACTTGATGTCAATACTTTAAAAAGCTTTTTATTTTTTATAAATAATATCTAATGGTGGACCCTTTTTTACATCAGGTTAGATTTATTCAAATCTGCCATTGGGTTGATCGTGATGTTAAAATATACTAGTAGGCCCTTCTTCTAATGTTTATATATTACATGTGAAACCCTCTTTATCCATATTCATGATCTAGTAGCCCAAGAATGTAGAGTCTATTGCACTAACACTTCATCGTAGGTGTCATTTGTAATTCATATTGAGCAAACGACGAGCACCTGGTTACGATTAGCAGAGAAACAATGTTTGATCCCTCCCTAAGTGGAAGAAAAAAACATATTCCCACCACGTCGGTTAGTCTTTTAACATTGATGTCAGGACAATCACCATCAACTTTGTAAACAACCAAACAAATATGTACAAGGCCAACTATACACATAGACGAGGCACCACCATACCGAGAACAAAGCAAGAAAAATCAGGAAGAACGAGATGTATTTATATGTTCAAAACCTTTTGAAAAACAATATGGACAAAATTATGAAGATTATTGGTTATTAAACGATTCAAAATGGTTTTACAAATAAAGTCTAGTGAAAATAACATATTAAAATTTTACAATTCCTAAAACTAGGATTCAAGTATACACCAAACTAATCAACTTAAGATTATTAGTCATATAATGTTTAGGATTCATACATTGTTATGTAAGGATCAGATTATTAGTCATATAATGTTTAGGATTCAAACCTTGTTATGTAAGGATCAGATTATTAGTCATATAATTGTTTAGGATTCAAACCTTGTTATGTAAGGATTCTTTGATGTAGGAGATAGTAATCAATATTAGCGTTATGGGTATCTATACAAGCCGATATAGACTCCTCCTAAACACTAAAAATTAAATGAAACTTTTAGGTTTGCCTCTTTATTCTTGTCTATCGATTATAAGAGAAAGCGATATGGAACCTCCAGTGAAAAGAGAAAATAGAGGGTTTAGTGGGGTTTCTATTTCATAGTTTTCATAAACTTTAACATCCTCATTTTAGGTCTAACATTTTTTTCACTTCATATATATATATATATATATATATATATATATATATATAGAGAGAGAGAGAGAGAGAGAGAGAGAAAACAAAAGGTTCTATGGAAAATAAATATTTAAGGCATCAATTAGAAGCCAATAAAAATTGACACATATATATTTCTTTATTCACACCTAAGATATTATAGTTACAAAAAACATCATTATGATTTGGTTAAAATTATACATTTAATCTATATAGTTTCCTTAAAATTACTTGTTTAGTCCATAACAATCAACTAGTTTATAACCCGTGGGAACCACGGGTTATAAAATTTATTAAACTTTCATAATAAAAATTATGATAATTAATCAATTATTTTAAAATAAATCATTTTAAAGAAATTATTAATTAAGAGATATATCAAATTTAATAAGTTATTATAACTTCAAATTTAACATATAATTAGAAAATGTAAATTTGAATTTTGAAATGAGTTGTCTAACATATCTACATGCCACATAACATAATATTAATGAGCAGTTGTATTAGAGTGATACTTGGCAAAAGGAGATTAAAACTATTCATTTATTATAATATAATATGGATTAAAATACAACGCCCCTATTTGCTCCTCCATTAGCTCCTTTCATCGAAACCCACATCCCTACCGGTCGGCGTCCTCCGTGTTTGAATATCAGTCTCCTTCCCATTTGTGACCGCCTGAACTCGAAAAGAAACCCACATATCCCTTTCGTGTATGGATTTTGCCCTACCCATTGTCTCCCTCACGCTCTTGCGAACGTTGAATGTATGAAGCATCGATCTCCGATCGGCGACCCATATCCAGCGTATGCACTGACTTCTTCACCTCCGACTACAACGCACCAGATTCGTTTTTTGCATCTGATCGTCGATTTCTAGAAAATGTAAAACGAATTTTATCATCGATTTAGCTTTCTTAATCAATTAAATTTTTTTCTTTCGTCTCTAAATCATCTGTTAATTTCAAAATCAGTTCCTGTTTGTTCTTGATTTACGAATTGATCATCTGCTGAAATTGGTTGAAGTTTGGAGATGGTGTTTGAGACTAGAGGGGTAGAAGCGATTCTGCTTGTTGTGATTTCTTACTGACTGATTTCTCCATAAATTGTCGATACCCCAAATCAATAGATTGAAAGATAATTTGAATTTGTTTTCAAAATATACCATCTTCATATTTATCACTTTTTCTCCAAAAACATTCATTCTTCCCAAACATTAGTTTTGATTTCATTTAAGATTCTGATTTCAGGATTACATGAATTGACATTGGTTACATTTTGATTTTGGGATTTGATGTCTAGAGGTTTCACTTTTAGTTTTGATTTTGTTTTGGTCCAGGTGGTTATTGGTGATGGTTGTAGGAGATTAATGATGGTGGAGGTTAAAGGGAAGGTAGAGGAAAACGAAAGGGTGTGGGGTGAGTGGGGTTGATGACTTCGGACTCCGCGTCCGAATCACCGTCATCACTGGGTTCCTCCTCGAGGTCTTCTTCGGCTTCTTCTTCTTCCAGGTCCACCACTGGCTCAGTAGGTCCGCCCTCGACTTCCGCCTCAGGTTCCTCTTCAGACTCCTCCTCAGGGTTTTCTTCAGGTTCCTCCTCCAACCATCCGTTATTCCCCTGATTAGGGAAATACGGATCTCCGGGGTGATGAAAGTCGGCCATACTGTCTGCGAGAGTGTATAAATGTACTAATATTATTCCTAAGATGTTCTAATTATTATGCATTTTGAGTTGATGTTCTCTTCTTGGTAACAAAGGGGTATGTTTTTAGGTTTACCGACCATCGAGGTTTCCCTGGGGCATGTGATAGTTGTACTTCGGAGAAAATGTAGTTGATCAGGCTACATTCACCCCTTAATACAACTAGGAATAGTCCCGACTTAACCGAGATGTCAGTATTATCTTATTTGATTTGGTATTATGATCTTTTTCCTATATCTTACAAGTAGATGTGTTTTATCGTTGTGTTTTATTTGTTTTGTTCAGAGTTTGTTTTAGTCCCTCTTTGGTTTATAGTTGCATATCAATGTGTGGTTAGATATGTCAGTTCACTATAAACAGAGCTCTGATACCAACCTGTCACACCCCCGAAGCAGACGGCGGAAACGTCTGAGGGCTCGCGTGACTCAAATTGAATATCATCACAATGATTATACATGAAACACAACATAAACTTTACCATGCATTAATACATTACAATTGACATTGTTCACATCAAGTACATTGTCTAAATATTACATATCCATATCATAAATTTGTTTGAGAGTTTTCAAAACATAACATCCTAACATACTTGGTATTACTCTTCAGCTTACCTGTTACCTGAGAATACAAGTTATTTTGAAAACGTCAACATATGGAATGTTGGTGAGTTCATAACCAGGGTTGTTATAAAAATGTTTTGTGTAGTATATAAAACCCAGAAAATCCGATATATTCTGAAAAGACAATTGTTTATACCAAAGTGTGAAGATCCATAAGTTTGTGCATGAATGATTTCAAAACGTGTATAAATAAGAAGTTTTGCATTATAGTTATTGAAAGTACAAGTGAATGGTGTTGAATTCCTCGAAAAACCCGATGTTTTCCGATAATATAATATAATTGTTTCAAATTGTTATACCGTCACAACGAATGATTATGATTTTCCTTGATTACTCGGATAGTATTGGATTCATTTATTTATGTGAGTCGTTATAACCATGCATGATAATGACTAGTTCGTCTGTCTTGGCATTCTAGCGAACGCCGAAATTGATCTTAAGATTTTGTCACCCTAGACTGGACGAGTCTAACTGTAGCGAACAGCTGAGGTGTGGGGGAGTCACCCCCGTATAGATCTATACACAAACTCTCGCTCTCCCTCCAGGAGACTTTGATTATAACTACAGACTACGAACGACACTTAGAGGTGTCGCCCGTTATTACTCACTTAATCCAAACGAAATTGATTACCATTAATAACAACCTGTATTTGTTTACTTGAATTGAAGGTAAGCCTAACAAACGAGGAGAAGAGAATTACAAAGTCCTGCTAATTACGTGTGTTATTTAAAGGGTGTTGGTTATACGAATGACGCGTTGGCCCATTTCATATTTGATTTAATTGGACCTTACTAGCAATGATAATGGGCCACTGAGGCCCAATAGCACATAGAAGCCATTGAGGGTCCCTTAAACATGTAATTGGGTCACAAGAGGCCCAATAGACATGTGTTATTATTGTTAGGCCCAAAAGTCATGTCAATGGGCCACGAAGGCCCAATAAGCATGATTAGGATCTTTCAAGCCCAACTA